ATTGGAAACCAGCCCGAAACTGTTTACAGATATCTGAAGGTGAGCCTCCATGCGCTTTTCTTTGTCCCGTCTTCCTCCCCTCACCCCACCCAGTCGCAGCAGATGAGCCTGGTTCTGCTGTTAAAAGGAAGTTCTTCCTTCCCACTGTTGCCAAAGCGCTTGCTCATAGTGTCATATGATTGTGGGGGCTTTCTCTGTCTTCATTATATTTTTGTAGAGTGTTTACCTTACAATAAAAAAGCGCCTTGAGGCCACTGTTATTGTGATTGGGTGAGTATAAATAAAAAAAAATTGAATTTCTATCAAGTTATCAAAGATTTTTGGCTAACAGGAAATAGCTGTTCTGAACGAAATGTTTAAAAAAATGAAAATAGGCTGTTGGAGTTTGTTTTAGCTGAAATTGTCGTCTTTGTTCTTGCTTTTTTTGTTTGTCTTGTGTTTTTATGTACAGCAAATAAAATCTGAGGCTTACGCCAAGATTTTCCACAACTCCCTCGAACCTGATATCCTCAGTCTTATCCTGAGGACTCTACATGACTTCTACATCAAGTAAGTTTTTTTTTTTTGTATTGTTTTTTTAAATGGTGTCTACGTCAAAGTTATGGTTAATCGTAGTATTATTATGCATTAAGCATCCTGTTATTTTCAGTCATACTCAGACAAATAGGTGCAGCTAAACTCTTAAAGTAGTGAACACGTGTAGCTCTGTGGTGGATTTAAAAAACAGCTTTGTTTGCAGGAATGAAGAGCCGGCCGTCATACTGGAGACTCTCAGGAGTCTTGCAAGCGTGAGGCGCTTCGATATGGCTGTTATGTTCATGTCATCACCAGAGAAGAAAGGTGGAGTCTTTACATGATGCGCCGCTGCAAACGGCTCATAGGTTCACTTTGTCTTTTTCATCCACATTTTTCCAGCATATTGATCATTTCTGGGGGGGTTTCTTTTCCTCACAGTGCTCAAAGAACTGTTTGACTTTCTTCACCAAGCCGACCTGGACAGATCATCTATCACGGCTTTGCAGAAGAAGTATGGCGTGTAATTGCATTGAATGGAAATTTGGCGCCTCAGACTTTGCATTTCAGAGAAAACCAAAAAAATCAGCTGTTGTTTGTTTGCTGAATAAACTTTTGTTTAATAAGACTGCAGAGCTGTGAATCTTTCCTCTGGAAAGGCGCTGTCGTTTTCTGTCATAAGCGAGTTTATTTAAAGTTGGAGGCTGGGAATTCAGTTTCAGCTGCATTTTAATAAAAATATAGGAAAAACTTTTCACAGAGGTTCACTTGACTGTTGATTAAGATAGACTCTGCAATTTGCAAATGCAATAAAAGCAGATGTTTACCTTCAATAGCAAGAAATTGTTCAGAAATGTAAATGGCACCAAGTTATTAATCACAGATCCTTTATGGGGTTTTTGGAATATCTAGGCAGGCATACAGAGGCGATATTTAAACGTACCACTCCTATTGTCCCAAATTTAAGTTTGTAAAAGTTTAATTGAGAATTAAAGGTTTTAATCAAATTTTAGTTGTGTTAAAACTCTGTAACAATATGAATGGGTCTGTGTGAGCAGTTTGAAGTAAGCCAAGAAAACTAAATACGTTTTCAGTAAACTGAACACCAAATAAAGAATCTTTTTTTAATGTGTTTGGACTTTAGATAATTTGATGAGTCTCCCCAGGTGTGAGAAATGGAAGAAAATGAGTTTTAGTAAATACCCAAGCTGTTGAGTCTTAATAAAATCCAGGTAAATGTGGAACCGAAAGGTTGATTCTGTTCATCTGGACGCAGCGTTTTCAGTGGGAGAAACGTTTAGTCCAATCCAAGTGACGTCTTCAGTCTCAGCTGACTGCAGGTTTCCCCAATCTTGTAAACAGTACATTTGCATAATGACTGAAACCAGGCCACTGAATGATCAATGGGCTGTGAGGTCAGTCCATTGATCAATATGCAAATTGTCATGATCAAAGACCTCTGATCAATGGCCATGAGTATCACTCACACACTCACAGCATTGTAATATGGTGACAGATGGACCCTTAGGCCCCCTCTCCAGTTCAGAGATGCCCTTTTCACGTAAATGACCTCTTTGATTGCCGATCAAACCAGCGTTCCTCCCTGTCCAGGATGTGTACATCCCCATCATTGAAAGAGTGTCCACTGACGAGGTAGCTCTTCTGTGTTGTGCCATCCGCTTAGCCAGATGTTTGGTTTCCGCGATGTATAAATCATGGCAATCCTCCTGGCACAGCGTACGCTATATTACTGTGTTGGAGGACCGATTCCTTGGGGTGGACCAGTTTTAGGCACAGCGTGTTTTGGGCTTTAAGCACCACAGAGACTCGGTGTTTAGAAAAAATGTGTCTCAACTGTTCTGATACTCCTGACACATCAAGGATCACTAAGGGTTTTAGCTTAGGGAGCATGTTCTTCAGCTTCCCTGGCCGCTGTGTCTGTGGGGATGGTGTTGGCTCTATGTTGTAGTGTCCTGATGACACCCAGTCTGTGCTCAAGTGGGTGATGAGAGTATGTGGTAGTTGTAAATAGTAAATGTGGTAGTGCAGCTACAGAATGGGTAAACATAGCCTTGCACATACAGTATATATGTTACTGATGCTTGTGCAGAGCGGACCAGTGGGTGCAGTTCTTCTAGCGTCTCCATGTCAGTGAGGCTCTGCAGTGAAAAGCACATAAATCAATGCACATGAACAACAGCTACAAACACCGAGCCATTTTCTGATGGGCACAGAAGAGATGCCAGTCTAAATTTTGTTGTACTTGTATAACGACAACAAAGATGATCCTATCCTGTTATTGTAATTACAATAAGTGGAGTTATTTCAGTTGCAGGTTGTAACACACAGTAGCATCTTGATGAATCTAACTCACCCAACCACCTTCAGTGTGAATGCTGAACCAAACTGTTGCATATGTCTGCATAGTTTTAAAATGCAAATGTTAGCTTTTGTACAGCAGGTGGAGCCAAAGCTAAAACAAGACCAGCTAAATGAGAAACTGGGCATGCTTTCCAGTTCCAGAGCAGTTTTAAGACTATACACACACTCTTACAGGTGACTTCACTGCACGGTCAGATTTTATTTGTTCAGATTTTCAGGATACAGAAGAAAATATCTCGCCATGTGTAAGTCGTCCTGATCCCATACGTTCTTGTTCACATGCTTAAGAATGTCACAAATATCTTAATAGCTACGCCTCGTATGCGCCGTCCCTTCTGTACTCTGATATGAAAGTACTTTCAGCTTCACTGATTAGAAAGTACAAATAGAGACCGGCCCATTGTAAACAAGTGAGACGAGCATAGAGTGCTGCATTGTCAGGTTGCAGGTGAGTCATTCACTCTCAAAGCCATTTTATCTTGAGCTGATTCACAAAGGCCGGAAAATCTGACAGAGAAAAACACACATATATGAAAAAGAAACATTTAACAGTGAGATAAAAACTCCACATCTTTATTGTAGTCAACACTATAGTAGCAAATAATAATAATTGTAAAAAATGCTTAGAAAATTAATAACAGATTGTCACGGTGCTTGGTATTTTGACAAAGCTTATTTATTTATTTATTTTCTGAAAAGTTGCAGTGTGTTTGACCCCTCTGGGCCACTGTACTTTTGGGATTTTCAAGGTTGTTTTATTCACGTCCATTCTCTCATAGTTTCTTAGTGTCTGGTTTCAGTCGGCTTTTAGTTAGTGGCTTCCATTTTGTTAAGGCTCCACCACCAAGGTAGATGTTCCCACTTTTAGTTACTTCCTGTTTTAATATGGTACCTATTTGTCTTCAGCATTTTGTATTTAGCTTTACTTCCCCATGCCTCTGAGTGTTTGTACCTGTGTGCTGCTCCCCAGCTGTGAGCTCTTCCCTTGATTAGCCTTGTGTGTATGAGCAGCTTTAGTTTTCCCTCATTCTTTGTCTATGTGTTTGTTAGTTTAGTTTTTCCTTGCTCTCATGTTTTCCCTGGATTTTGTTACCTTTTCGACTTTGTTTTAGTTTGGACTGTTGCTTCATATATTTGTTAAATATACACTGTAAGTTTTCATTTCAAGGTCCACTAACAAGACAGATAATTGCAAAAATAACAACAATACAACAGCTGATTACATCATATCTCAGGCGAGTTCTGTCGCTACT